ATTGATTCCAAATTTCAAGAAAATGATCAATTTCAATTGGTGTACTTAATTATCCATTAAGAAATTTGAATTTTGCTTTTTCTTATAAGAAATATTCTAGCGTGCTACTCTAAAATTCATAATTTTTATTTGATAAGGAAGGAATAACAAGAATGACACCAAGATTTTAATCAAAGTGAAGGTAGTAGGGGCTCGACTGATCACGTGTTGGGTTTTTAGATGATTGATATCACTATTATTGTTGATGATGATGATGATGGTGATGATAATGGAAGAGGAATCTTCATGATTAAATTGATTCATCATTGATGTTGAAATGTGAAGAAGTTCAAATGAGATTTAAAAAAAAAATTGTTAAAAGAATTATACATGTACTGATACCATAATACTATGTGAAATATGTAGAATGTAATTGAATATGCAAAGTGTAATTGAATAAAAATTGAGCTTAAAGCTCTTGCTCATTGACATGGAGAATATGAATACAAGACGATGCATAAATAAATTTGCCACAACTAACAAAATTAACACGTAACTAACTTAACAGAATGCTACATCCGTTATAACAAGTAATCACACTCATATCTAACTACATCATAACTAACTCCTAGTTAGTTATTCTAGTGGCCAAACACATTCTAACATACACTCCCCTAATTTGAAACTTAGCAAAGAAACAGATTAAAATATGATACAATCATTACATCAATACACATTGACAACAAAAATTCAAATAAAACAAACTTCAATTCTTGTTCTGATGTAGTTGAAATATTTGAGCTTCAATGTCTTTTTTAATACATCTGCAAGTTCCTCTCCTATACTGCAATGTTCATCCCAATTGTTCCAGCTTTGGTCAATTTCTTAATAAAGTGAAACCTTATATCTATGTGCTTTCATGTTCCATGCATGACAGGGTTCTTTTACAACTTGATTGTGGAATTGTTGTCACACATGATAACTGTACCCTAAGTCTAAGTTTGACCAAGCTTGTGAAGAATGCTTCAAAGCCACACTGCTTGATAAGCACATGAGTCTGTTGCAACAAACTCAACTTTAGTGCTTGAAAGAGTCGCAATGGGTTGCTTCTTTGAAGAGCATGATATAGGACCTGGTCCAAGCTTTAACACATACACTGTAGTGATTTTTCTATCGTTGCAATCTCTTACATAATCTAAATCCGACCACGTTTGCAGTGTTATCTCATCATTCATCTTGTAAAACACTCCCAAATTCACAATTCTCTTTAAATACCTTAAGGTTTTTGTTGTTGCTGCTAAATGAATTTCAGTTGGTCTCTCCATGCATCTAGCCACCAAGCATACTGAATATGCAAGATCACGCCTAATAAAAAGCAAATATATTAAGCTTCCCACCATCTGCTTGTATCTTATGGCATCAACTGGCTTGCCATTTTCGTCCTTAGTTAACCTGCAACATGGAACAATAGAACTACAAACCTTATTACATTGGTCCATGACAAATTTTGTGAGAGTTTCATTGACAGATGAAGATTCATGCACTTTCTTGCTTTATTTCCACCCCAAGGAAGTATCTTATCTTCCTCATATATGTTATAATAACAAACATCTTCCTCATTGATTCTTTGAATCCTTCAAACATTTGTTGATTATTGCCTATGTAGATTAGACCATATACATACAAGTTGACTATCATGATCCTCTTTAATATGCTTCACAAAAAATGTATGTTCATGAGAGCATTTTTCAAAATTCTCTTGATTGAAATATGCTTCAATCTTGCTATAATAGGCCTTTGGAGCCCGTCTAAGGCCATATAATGCCTTTCTCAACTTGTAGACCTTGTATTTTCCTCCTTTATCATAGCTAAAAGGTTAATCTACATAGACATCTTCCATAAACTCACCATGTAGGAATACACTATTGACATCAAGTTGATACACATGCCACTTTTGCATGCTGCAAGTGCTAGGACAGTCCTAATAGTATCCCATCTTGCCACAGGTTAAAAAAATCATTGTAATCTATGCCATGTTATGAGTACCCTTTAGTCACAAATATTACTTTGTATTTCTCCACTTCCCCTTTTCATTGCATTTTTTTTTATATATCCATTTGACCCAACTTTCTTGGCTCCTAGTGGTAGATTGACTAGACTCCAGATACCATTTTTCTCAATATTTTCAATTTCCAAGTCCATAGCTTTCCTCCACTTCTCATGCTTGAATGCTTTATCATAAATTGAGAGGATCATTGTTATTACAAAACATTGCTAAGTTGTGCAGCTGCTCATATTCTACCCTTTTTGAGTTTGTAACATATCCATCTAAGTACCCTGGCCTTATTCTTTGCCATACGACATGCTCACTATGCTCTTACCTTTGAGCAAAATTTTCTTTTTCAATTGCATTATTCTCACACATACTTTATACATTGCTTCCATCATGTCGAAAGTCATCATTTTCAACACGCACTCCATCATCAATCACTTCAACCTCATCACTCTCCATGTCTACTTATTCTTCATCAATATTGTTGATTGATTGACTCTTGTCATCTTTGTCATTCCTGTTTCATTCCCAACCTTTTGATTCTTAAAAAACACATAATTTTTTATCCAAATCTTATTATTCATAGAACCACAAAGTTTGTATGACTTTAATTCTTCATTAACTCCTAGGAGAACACACTTTGTACTCTTGACATCTAGTTTTTTCCTATGTACATCAGGAATGTGTACAAAAACTATACACCCAAACACCTTGAAGTGATGCACTGAGGGATTTACACTAGTCCATGCCTCTTCTGGAGTCATGTTTTTCACATATAATGTCATACTTCTGTTGATTACATATGCTGCCCATTTAGTTGCTTTAGGCCAAAACTTCTTAGGAACTTTACTACTTGCCGTCATGCTTCTGATCACATTCATCAATGTCTTATTTTTCTCTCTGATACTCCATTTTGCTGTGTAGTATAGGAAGTTCTCAATTGCCTCTTGATGCCATGAAGACTGCAAAAATCAGAAAAAGAATTTGATGTAAACTCTCATTCTCTATCTGTCCTAAGACATTTAATGTAATGGTCTGACTCTTTTTCTACTAGTGCTTTGAATTGTTTAAAAACATCAAAGTCACCAGCCTTTTCATGCAGAAAGTAAAATAATGTTTTCCTACTAAAGTCATATGTGAATGTAATGAAATATATGCTTCCACCATTTGATGCAGGCTTGACAGGTCCACACACATTTGAGTGGATTAACTCGATCTTTTCTTTGGTTGTCCATTTGGCATGCTTTGCTATGACTTCTTTATGTTGCTTTCCCATCAAGAAATCTGAGCAGGTCTGCTCCAGGTCCTTAAACTAAGCATTCCCTTTACCATCTCCTGCTTGATGAGTGTGTCAAGGCCTTTAAAACTCAGATGGCCATATCTGCAATGCCACAAGTGTGTGACATTATTTGTAGAAACCTTCATGCACATGGGAAGAACTATAGGTGCAGACACAATAAACATCCTTTTGAACAAGATTGTTAGATCCTTTTGCATTAGTTGACCAACACTTAAAATATTATTGTTCAAGTCTCGCAAGTAATACACATGGAATTACTTGAGTGATGCCATTCATGTGAATATTCAAATTTCATTTTCCAATAACTTAGATCTTAGAACCATCTCCCAATTTAACAAATTCTCGGAATCTTTCATAAAAATTGAAGAGCGATTCTTTCGTTCCCACCATGTGATTGCTATATCCTGAGTCAAGAAACCACACTTGATTATTGGTTTTAGCGACTTCGTTTTTAGCCATGAGTAACAACTCTCTACTCTAATAAAATTCAGCAAAGTTGCCATCATTCTCTTACCAAGTTGGACATTCACTCTAGTAGTGCCCTATCTTGTGACACTTATAGCATTGATCTCTGTTGAGTCTCCCCAATTCCCAATACTCTTTGGATCAAAGAAGAATCTCCATGAGCATGGCACAATAATCATATAATCCATCGAATTTGGAAATTGTCGGAGTCAAGAACTTTGAGGAATCAACCATGGAAAAAACTCAAGTGATGATACACGAGCAAACGAAAAAACCGATTACTTTTTTCTGTCTTGAATCATAAAACATCGTTTCTAGATTGAAGAAAGAACACCTAGATCAAGAACTGGTGCTTCTGATACCACTTGTAAGAATATGAGAAAATACCATTCCATAGATAACATGACATAACTCATAGTTTACATGCATGATCAATTACTTATATAATAAGTAATCACATTCATAACTAACTCCCTCATAAACATTATGAATACAATGAAAAAATGAATCTCATTAACATTTGATCATTTTTAGGGTATTTATGAATTGATAATATGTGATGGAATGAAATAGAGTGAAGCCATAAGTAATATTGTTTAGATTTCTAAAAAATTGATGCAACAAAATGAAATATAACGAAATCAAATCGATCCAATGATTTAATTTTCATTTCACGCGATTTAAAATGTATGCAGCATAATGAACTAATCAATTATATTTTATTCCGCCAAATTAACAAAAGTATCCAAACAATGAAATTTGTGATTCATTTTATTAGGTTTCATTTCTCTTCGCTCTAATCCATCAATTCAAACATAATCGTAGTGATTATAATACTTTGTTAATGTGCGAACATAACACAATACTACAATTTGGTTTATTAAATTGGTATTTGCTGGAAAAAAAACATATAAAGTTGAATAACATTAAAAAAAAAAAAACATCAAATTTTGATAAACAATGAAAAACAAAACAAAAGAAAACGTTGTAATTGGTTTGGGATGGTACTGTACCTTGTTACAGTAGATTGTAATGTTAGTATATTTGTCCCTTTGGGGTCTCCTTCAAAGAAACAAAACCTTCTCATTCTCTCTGTTGAATCCCAAAAACCTTCTTCTCCCATTTCCTCAGAGAGATTGATAGAGAGAGAAAGTGATTAACTTTGTGTGTTATTCTGGCATCATACTCGGGAACCAATCAACCATGTCTCTTGGGTATGCTGAGAAACTTTCCTTCATAGAAGATGTAGGCAACGTTGGAATGACTGAACATTTCGACGCATCTACCATTTTGCGTGAAAAAGTGGGTCCTCTTTTCCTCCATTCACATTTTGATATTATTTTTCATCACACTGTTGTTGCTTACCCTTTGTGCCCTTTTTGCCTGTAATAGACTAGTTTTGCTGGATGGTGATCTCTCATATTATGTGCAAATTTTGTTGCTTTTGGGGTTCTACGATTATGATTATCCTTTGTTGTTATGTGCTGCGTGATTGATTGGTAATGGTAGTGATCTTCTGATGATTAAGCTGGAATTTGGGTGAAATTTGGTTGTTGTTTTGATAATCAGCATGCATGATTGTGGATGATTATGTTTATTTTACAAGGGTTTTGATTTAGTGAGAAATGCTTTGAGATTTTTAAATGTTGATCAGATATGTGCTTAGGTATTTGTGGTATTGCGTTTTACTATAACGTTGCAGAGTTTTTTTATATAGATAATCAACAAATGACGGGTTTGTCAATTTCACAATTTGCGTTAGTATGTTACTGATTGATTGAAACCTGAAGCACTGACATCCACACTTGTGATTACGTTCAATGTTTTCATTTTCTCAAATTATTACCGGTGTTGATGTGTCAGAATTATTACCGGTGTCGACGTGTCTGGTGTCCGTGATTCATAGCTATTGGGTTTTATTTAGGGCATATAACTATTCATCCAATATGGGACTCTCAACACACATCCCTCACATTTAGGACGGAACATCTAGATTGTGACTCAAGTGGCCCAATAATAGATGGCCTAACTGAACTAGGATAGACTCGAGTACCATCTTAGGGTTTCTGAGGTTTAAGTAAACCCTACAAAACCAACTTGTTAGTGAGATATATCCGCCACTTATTGCCACTACTGAGATCATATTGAATATCCAATATGTAGCTCTCAACAGGTAAAGTAGGATACCGATTTTCATTTTACCTGCATTGCGTTCGGTGTTGTTTTGAAGATTAATTTCCCTATTTAATTGGTGTTCTATGGTATTTGTCAAAGTTTGTTCATATGCTTATGGAGTGTTGTTAGATTTCTTCCACAACGTTATACCATGGCAAAATTTGTGCCATAGGGCACAAAAACTATCACATCCGCCATAGATCGCAGCACCATGTTTATATGGCAGATTTTTAGACGACCGAGATACTCCGCCATTGATAACACTAAGTTTTTGTGCAGTACAATGTTAATGCAGATATGCATGAATATGTTTGTTTTATTCATTACCTTCACTTAACCAAGATGCACACTTTATTTGCTAAGATTTTTTTTCTCTTGGCAGATCGAGCAACTCGCTGTTATGATTAAAAAGGTACCGACTACAGCTACTTTTTGATTGATGATTATATTCGGAACCTTTCTATTATTTTTTATTTATGCAATCAGCCTTTTTAATTTGTATGTATTTTTCTTCTTGCAGAGTAAGCATCTAGTAGTGTTTACAGGTGCAGGAATATCAACTTCTTGTGGTATACCTGATTTTCGAGGTCCCAAAGGAATTTGGACGCTTCAGGTGATGGTTTTGAAGTTTGTGAATGCTTGTACAATAATTGAAATTTAACTTTTTTTTCTTCTGTTCTCACCGTTGTGAATGTATTCTTGACAACAGTGTGTAGTCTTCTTCCTTTCTCTTATGGTTTATAGATTTCATGCAGCTCTTTTCATCCTATTTTCTGTTCTGTATTATTATTACAGCGTGAAGGTAAAGCCTTGCCTGAAGCATCATTACCATTTCACCGTGCAGTGCCAAGCTTGACTCACATGGCTATCGTTGAATTAGAAAAGGCTGGTATTTTGAAGTTTGTTATCAGCCAGGTAGAATCACTGTTTTTAGTCTTAGCTATTTTTCACTTGTTCTTTTGCAAATCGCAATCAAACTTCGATAAAAGTTTCATCCAATTTTAATCGAAATTATCATTCTTTGGAGCAGAAGCCAGCATTTAATTTTCTTCTCCATTCTTATAACCTTTTATTTTCTTATGATAGAATGTTGACGGTCTCCATCTTCGATCTGGAATACCAAGGGAAAAACTGTCTGAACTGCACGGGAATTCCTTTATGGAAACTTGCCCTTCTTGTGGAGCTGAGTACGTTCTTATCACTCTTCCCATGCTAATTTCGCATGAGCTTTCTTTTCCATGCATATTCGACATATATCTTCCGCAAAGTTACGACTATTTACAGTGCAGATGCTAGCAATAAAATTCCATTTCATACATTTATTAGTCATTTATAATTTCTAATATTTTATACATAAATCCTGCTGTAGACTTGGCCTGATTTTTCTACTTCTTGCATTAAGCCAATCCTGTCGTGTTCGTGTTTTTCAAAATCTTACCTCATGAAAGAATTGTAATCAATTGAATAACTTGAACATCTTAAGGTACTTTCGTGATTTTGAGGTAGAAACTATTGGCTTAAAGGAGACATCACGGCGCTGTTCAGATGCAAAATGTGGAGCAAGACTTAAGGATACAGTCCTTGACTGGGAGGTACAACATTGTTCACCATTAGGTCCCAGTTGTACAATAACATAATAATGTAGTAATATGATAGAAGTACAGATTGCACCGTGCATTCACTGAAAAATATGTGCGTGTGTTCATGATACAGTTCAGTTAGAAAACCAAACCGAACCAAACCATACTAAAAGGTCACTCGAATCGAACCAAACCGTTTCAATTTACTCAGAACTGAACCGAACCAAATTGGTTCGGTTCGGTATACCGTTTCGAAATTCCGAACCGTTAACCAAACCATTTGTTAAAGAACCAAACTGCTAAAACTTGTTTTTAGTATTTTTCAGTTTCGGTTAGGTTTATTTGCCATATGGTTCGGTTCTATAACTGTTTGTGAAATATGGTTCGGTTCACTAACCAAACATAACGGTTCAGTTATTTTAAATTCAGTTAAATTCGGTTTGGTTTGCAGTTTTTTTGCATATATGTGTCTGCCTATTTATGTTTCCATCTGAATATCTCTCTATGTATGCCGTTGTATGTACAGGATGCATTACCGCCGAAGGAGATGAATCCTGCTGAGAAGCACTGCAAACAGGCAGATATAGTGTTATGCTTAGGGACAAGGTAACGATAACATGATATATTCCTTTTCACTGCAACAGTTATCTTTTTCATATCTTCTCGGTAGTTGTGGCATGCTCAGTTGAGTTCAAATGAATCCTACTACTTTTGGGGTAATGTTACATATGAAGTTGTGGAATTTTCAATAAAAGGAGGACATAAAATAATTAGAACCTTGAATACATATACAAGTCTTTCATACATGATGAGTTCTCTTTTCCAAAAAGTTTTGCTTTGCTATATTTCTCTTTTGATATAGCATGGCTGAAATCTCTTAATGCAGTCTGCAAATAACTCCAGCCTGCAACTTGCCTCTTAAAGCACTTCGTGGCGGAGGTAAAGTTGTCATTGTAAATCTTCAGGTTTGTCTCCCCTTTTTTCTCCTAGCCACCTTTTGCGTGTTAAAAGAGGTGTTGACCCCATCGAACTAGCATTCAGTAATATCCGAAATAACATATTTAATTCTATTTCAAATAAGATCCTTATGATGTCCTGTGTATAACTATGATCATGCCGGATATAGTATTATGTAGAAAAAGTAATTCTTGTCGCATTGCAACAATACATAAAAGTACCCTAAATTTGTGGCGTTTAGACGTTACAATTTAACTGTGGTCACTAGCCTACATTTTCTGTATTTACAATAGAGTATGTCAAAACTATAGGATATTTATGATTTGCTACGACTATGATATTATCAAAGTTAAGTATGTAATTACACTTTCAATCTCTGAACTTCATCTCCGTCTCAGTTTTTTTTTCTCTTATTATTATCCTTTATGCTTGTGTTTATCCTAGTTATCTAAACTATAAATGTTTTGAACTCTTCAGAAAACCCCAAAGGACAAAAATGCCTCTCTAGTCATTCACGGGTTTTCCGATAAGGTATTTGACTTGGATCCTTCTTAAAAAAGATGCTTACTTATCCATAGTTATTTGATTATTTGTGTTAATTGTTATTATCCATTTCCTTTGTTTGACGAATTTCTTATGTTTTAAAACCGAAACAGGTAATTGCAGGTGTCATGGAGCACCTAAATCTGCGGATTCCTCCTTTCATAAGGATTGACCTTTTCCAGATTATTGTTGTGCATGCTTTGAGCAACGGTATATAACTTGTGCTTCTTTTATATATAATAGAATTTGTGTCACGCTGCAACATGCCACACAGGCAAAGTACCAAGACACGTGAATGACTAGCTCACGTAATTGATTCGATTTTCATCACAGATAAAAGATATGTGAACTGGACTCTTCAAGTTGCTAGTTCTCATGCCCAGAAAGCAGCATTGCCGTTCATCAAGTCTGTCGAGGTGAATTCACGTGTTGAATCTCCTTACTGGCACAGCTGCATTGCATTCACCAACTTCACGTTGTCTTACGAAAAAGTAAAAAGAAACTGATTAGCATATCTGTCTTTGTCTGCAGGTTTCCTTCTCGGACAAGGAAGGTTTCAAAGAAGCCATTCTGGATAAGCAACCATTTCGGCTTAAAAGGTCCCACACTTTTGCAATGTGATTTTGTTTCTGCCTTTAATTCAGTTTTTTTTTAATTTTTTTTTAATTTTTTAATTTTTATTTTATTTTTATCTTAGAGTATATTAAATTCTTGATATCTTTGCGTTGCTTAAATTTTAATACTTATTTTGATGTATGATGTCTTAGAAGAACAGCATATAACAAAACTTTTGAAATGGTTCTAAACCTCAATTTTGGTGAAGGCTGTGGTTGCTCGTCTCTTGAAGTTGATGTCCCGATCGATTTTATGGTGAGACCTGTAAAATATTTGTTATTATTTGACCGGACGAAATAAAGTTTTTCATGATTCATAAAACTTGTCAAGGGCCAAATGTTATAGAAAATGACTTACATGAAAATACAATATTTTCAGAGTTCAACTGACTGCTTCAACTTCGACAAGGATGTCATATTCCAAAAGCTGAGAGACAAGGCAGTCTTCGAGTCAAAATGCGGTCAGAATGCCGTTATCGAGAGAAAAACCATCTTGACACCTAGAAGCGAAATTACTACCTATGCAATCGTAACCAACGTTGTTCATTACAGCAAACCAGTTCCCGATTCTCTAACCAATTGTGATCTTAAAAAGAGAAAAGATATCATGATTGGCACAGGATCGTCTTGGAAGCGATCGAAAGTTTCTAAGGGTAAATCGTTATCAAAGAAGGAATGAATTAATAGATAGAAAGAGGTAGGTTCTGTAAGTATGATACCAAAGATTAGAAAACTGACAGGATTGACAGAATGTAGAGACTGAGTGAATTTTGTTAGATGTTACACTCAGTCTTTCTTTCCCTATATGGTGGCCATGATGCTGAAAAACTTTTTTGTATATTAACTAATTACTGAATATATAGTGTGTAATCTTGGTGTGGCTTTTGTAATCTCATTCCATCGCATATTTTTCATACCCTATGAAAACTCGAAAATCTCCTATATAAAAAGTATCTGCTGGACACTCTTTAAAAGTTATCTTCTGGAATGTAATGATTTATACATATAACCAATCTTTCAAACTTTATTAAAGACTTTCATATTTTCTTAAACCCTCACAAAAAGCTTCCTTTTGTATTTTGACATTATAAACTTGATAATCTTTCTAAATTATTTCTAAATTATAGGTAATATATATTTATATCTCTTTTTGTCAATTCAAATTGTAGTTTTTTTTTTTCTTTCTTATAATTGAAAAGTTGTCTGGAAGGAAGCTTCTATAATATATCAAAATATGTTTGGAAGGAACTTTTCTGACAAATGTCTCGAGTGCTATGTGATTTTTCATTGTATATGCTTGTTAGAGAGACTGATCAAGAAGCCTTAGAATGTTTGGATGTTACCCGAATCACGTTGGAGTCTCTCAAAAGCGTCCTAGAACAGGACGTCTGTCGAGCTTCTAGAATCGATCAACACTTGCTTTACGTCCTAATTGTCATAATGCAGCATGATGATCATAGGATCCTTGTTATGAGGGAGAAAATCTAATGGAATCCTTGTTGAAAAAGGTGATTTCGAATTTTGTCTCCTTCTCCATGTTTGCCTTAGGGGTGACGAGTATGATGCTCGTTGTCAAAATTTTCTTTGCATACTTCCGACAAGAAGAGCTAGATTCTCCTCTGTCGATGAACCCTCATGCGATGGTGTTGACGGTGGCATATGTGCCTTGTTTCACCATCATGCTGGAGAAGGTAATGAGATGGTTGGTGAATGGTAATGAGTGTGACCCAAGTTAGTTTTACCGGAGTCTACGGTGGACGCCAATCATCCCTGTTGAAAAAGCACAACGAGGGTAGTCTTGTAGTTGGAGTGATGTATGTGATGTTTGGAGTTGTTGATAATGTTTAGGGTCGGCTCACGCAAGTGGTGAGAAGTTGTGTATGGTTTTTGGGAGAAGGATTCCATCATTTTTTCAATTTCAAGACTAAGGTATTTATATAGGTTCCTTGGGTCTGAGCTAAAGAGCAATTACCAACTCTCATAAATGTGGGGAGGAATTGGATCATGGAGGAGACAATTTTCCCTCATTAACTCTCTCGTCAAATTGTTATTGTTTGGACACGTCTTCTCCCATATTTTTTCTGAAACACTTACAAAATATTATTATGTCATTGACATATAACACATGCGAGGGGATAACAACTCCTTTAAACAGGTTCATGGGAAGGGGCTTCCATTACTAGAAGTTATGGTCCATCTTCTACTAAGAATTTATTTCGCAAATCACAATAAAAGAAGAGAGAAAAGGTGTCCTTGACACATACTTCTAGCACAACTAAAGTAACCAACAACTTTACCATTGACAAGGATGGAAAACTTGGTCGATTGCAAGATTTTTATAACCCAACCACAGAAGATAGCATTAAAACCAAATTGCTGCAAAACATGTATCATAAAGCTCCAATCAAGAGTATCAAATGTCTTCTCAATATTGATCTTCAATGCAAGATTATCCACAAAACACTTCTTAAAGAAGACACTAATGACTTCTGACACTATAATAATGCAATCAGATATGTTGAGCTCCGGGGTAAAGCCACGATGTTGAGGAGAAATAATTTTGGTAGCTACACAAGTCATCCAATTCACAAGAATTTTTGTGATGATTTTAAATTAGAAATTTGCAAGCACAATAGGACGAAACATCTTTCACTCTATTTGCACCATGTATTTTTAGGATAAGACTCATAAGTGTTTTGTTAAGGAACTATAATTGGAATTGATTGTTGATGTAGGATTTTAAAATCGACGATGTTAATTTTTGATACATTGGCACAGGATGAACCTACAAGATTAGCACTCCAACATCTAAGTTAATTATAGAGTCCAAAATGAGTATAGTGAAAAGTGGAGATCAAAAAATGTACCTTGAACCTCATGTGTGTTGACTATATAGGTTGGATAATCTTGATTGATATTGAGTATGATTAGGCCCTTGTATTAGGCCTTTGGCTGGCCTACAACAATTGCCTCCAAGATTGTCCTGGAAGTATTTCAAAGTCATGGTCGACCTCTAACGCTTATGTCTGACCACAACGAGAAATATGAAGGTTATTTAGTAGTTATAAAAGTAACAGGGAACAGGCGCATTGAATGCTTTCCCATCATTGAAACGTTTCACTAGTTTTTCAGACGCATGATTTTAGGTTATTAGTTTAAGGTATGGTGTTTTCCCTAGGGCATTCGAGTGCATTTCAGTTCGTTTTCATTTCTTAGGTGGAATCTAGCCGTTGATTTGCAATTTCTTGTTTTTACTGAACTAATTTTTTGCTTTCCTTCATCTACAAATAAGGCCTTTGACATTTGAGAGAACTTTCACCATTCTTGAAAGTGAATCACTATTTACAAGAATGATTCCTTCTCTTTTTTGGAGTTTTTTTCTTTAAGCTTTTTCCTTTCCTAGAATTAAAGCTTTCCATATGCATTTAATCATTCACCTTCTTCGTCATACTCTTCACTTTCTAGGTACCCTTCTTACCTTGAGCTTACTTCATACTTTCAGTATTTTCTTTACCATGGCCAATGTAAATGATCATCCCATAAGTTTATCTAGCGATTCTGGAAGTAGTGATTCCTCTTATTTAGTTAGGGCAAATGATCACATCTACCTTCAAAGTTATCCTGAAGCAGAGAAGATGAAGATTTTCTCTGAAGTCGCCTTTTACTCTTACTGGGTTGCTTCTCTATTCTCTATAGCTGCTACTAGCCGGGGGGACATTCTGGCCTTGGGTAAGCCTTCGAAAGAGAGGGATACATGGAAGGGAAAGCGTGAAATTATAGAACATAAATGGTTTAATCTTAGACCATTTATGTTCCATGGCTTAGACCTGAAGAGCCATTTTGAGGCTCTTCAAGAGGAGGCGAAAATCGGGTTTCCTTCTTCTCTAGCTTCCAGGATTGTTGAGCTTGAATCTTCCATGGAGATGGTGAAAAAGTCCTAGATGGACACATTCATTACTGCAGTAAAGATGAAGTCTTGTATCGATGAGGCTTCGAAAGCTCTGCAAGAGGAGAAGGAATCCTGAGCTAAGGACCGTATGGCCCACGATGATCGGGTGGCTAAGCTAAGTAAGAAGGTCGATGAGTCCCTCAAGTAAACTCTTGAGAATGTGTATGTGGCCTACAATTAGGAATTTAAGCAGGTGGAAGCACTCCGCCTAGGCATCTCCGTTCCCCATTTACAAATCGAATTATTCAAGGTTGTTCGAGACAAGACCTTGGTGGAAAACCTCAGTGCGACGTCTCAGGAAGAGGCCCTTGATTTTATTTTGTATTTCTTGTAATGTTTAACAAGGTGTTGTGCCCTCATGTTCTCTGAACTATCTAGTTGGTTCCTGCTCCTACGATGATCAATCATGATTCTTTTGTATGTGGGACTAGTCCCCTTGATGTTAGGGGTGTTCGCGGACCGAGTTGGTTCGGTTTTAAGAGAATGTGATTTCTAAACCGATAAAAAATATATGGTTTATTTTGGATTGAATTTGGATATTTTTGCAAAAAAAAATCCAAATTGAACCAAACCAAGAAACAACTTGTTGGCTTAGGTTGGATTGATCGAATACATTAGAAACAAATCTGTAAAAATATTTTAAAAATATCTAATTTACCCTAAATAATTTTTCATAATAATATAAAATCATTAAATTTTGTTCCATATAGGTTATGAATGTAACAAATAGTGTTTCATTTTTTTCTTCTTGAAGTTGAAACCTTATACTAATTTTCATGATAATGATGATATAAATTATACAAATTAATTGGAGTTGCTTCTAGGGGTTTCAACTTGCCTCTGTTAGTCAGGATCCCCATGAAAATTTCATTGTTTATGGCCCATAAGATGGAGAATAAAGTCCCCTTGAAGGCACTTCGAGGACGGGGACATCTAACATACCCCTTGTCCCGTGAAGTCCCCACCACCGCTTAGAATACCATAATATCCTTAATTCATATATAATTTTAAATTTTTATATTGGTTTATTTGTCGTTTCATATAACTTATTTCATAAAAATTCAAAACAATACAATTTATTTGTCAATTTCATATAATTTATTTTATAAACATGTTTGAAAGTTTGGTGGTCATGATTCTCAAAAGTATAAATTAAATATTGTTAAAAAAATATATTTATCTTAGAGGATTAATTTCTTAATTTCTCTTGGTTATTTTTTTTATTTTTTACGAATTAATATGGTTAAAAATAATAAATAAAATATTATGTTTAGAATCTCTATAAGTACATTGGAGATCTGCGTGGATTCACGGGGATCCATGGGGATGAGCATGGGGGACAAAGTCCCCCCGCTAGGGATGTTCAATAGTTCAGAAAAATTTGAATCAAACTGAAATCTAAACTAAACCATTGTGTTTGGTTCAGACATTTTTTTAATTCAGGAAAAAATCGAACAAAACAAATGAAATCCGACGTTAATTGGTTCAGACAACGAATTTCCAAAATTCTACCAATGAACCCGCCTACCTAAACCAATCATAATTAATTAGTATAATATATATCATTATTATCATAGAAACTAGAATAAGGTATTCAACTTCAAGAAGAAAAATGAAACGCCATTTGTGATATTCACAACCAATATAAAGAAACAAAAAAGTTAAGAATTTTATATTATTTTGGAAAATTAGTTGATGTAAATTAGATGTTTTTTAAAAATATTTTTGCA